CAAGTACTTGGTACATTATCAGCGCAGCGGGAGACGTTCAAACTAATATCACGTAATTTCCGTCTCTTTGATGATTGGTTGATATCAGAAGGGAGGCTAGCCTCCCTTACGAGGGTTCTTTTCTCAACAATCCACAGCGCTGATAGTGAACACTCGATGCTGATTGGCAATTTTTTTTTTTTAACTATGACATTGCATGCTTGTAGTTTCATTTGCGATTTAATATGAAGTTATATACAGAGCGTGCAACTGCATTTGTGCATGCAATTGAAGAGCACGTGCTACAAGCACAGCATAACGGCTGACAGGACAGGAAAATTAGTTTTTACTGACATATGGCCTGACAACATCTCATCTGACCAAAGTGTTGCACCATTTAATTAAGCTGACTGCTATAGCCTATATCCAGCTTAGGCTGTTTTCCCTAAATTTGTATATATACTGTTTGAATGACAGCTTGGTAAATCTGTTGACAATCAAATATTCAATATCGCTACTCATAAGTACTTGGTACATTATCAGCGCAGCGGCAGACGTTCAAACTAATATCACATAATTTACGTCTCTTTGATGATTGGTTGATATCAGAAGGGAGGCTAGCCTCCCTTACGAGGGTTCTTTTCTCAACACTCCACAGCGCTGAAAGTGAACACTCGATGCTGATTGGCAAATTTGTTTTTTTAACTATGACATTGCATGCTTGTAGTTTCATTTGCGATTTAATATGAAGTTATATACAGAGCGTGCAACTGCATTTGTGCATGCAATTGAAGAGCACGTGCTACAAGCACAGCATAACGGCTGACAGGACAGGAAAATTAGTTTTTACTGACATATGGCCTGACAACATCTCATCTGACCAAAGTTCACAGTATATTTGTGCTTATTTATTTATTTATTTATTTTCTCTGTCATGCCCTCTGTCGGTCCACTCAGAAAAATAAAAAAATTCTGTCATTTACTCACCCTTGTGTCGTTACAAATCTAAATGCATTTAATTCTTTTGCTGAACACAAAAGATGATATTTTGAATTATGTTGGTAACCAAACTGTTTTGGCTCCCATTGATTTTCATAGTATTTTTTGTCCATATTATGGAAGTCAGTGGAACCTGAAATCATTTGTTGGGTAGACTATCCCTTTAACCATCAATAACGTCATATTAGCTTTTTTTCTCAGACATTGTGACCTGAATCGTGCACAAAAGTGCAAGCAATCTTATGTAATCTTATGTGAGGTTAATTGTGTCGTTACAAATCTGAATGCATTTAATTCTTTTGCTGAACACAAAAGATGATATTTTGAATTATGTTGGTAACCAAACTGTTTTGGGTCCCATTGATTTTCATAGTATTTTTTGTCCATATTATGGAAGTCAGTGGAACCTGAAATCATTTGTTGGGTAGACTATCCCTTTAACCATCAATAACGTCATATTAGCTTTTTTTCTCAGACATTGTGACCTGAATCGTGCACAAAAGTGCAAGCAATCTTATGTAATCTTATGTGAGGTTAATTGCAAATGTGCGAGAAATATTCTTACTGTATATTTCTCTCTTAGAGGGCTTGTATCGACTTTGCCATCAGTGCCAAACCTTTGACTCGCTATATGCCTCAGAACAGACAGACCTTACAGTACCGGCTGTGGCACTTTGTGGTGTCTCCCGTATTTGAATACACCATACTGACGATGATCGCCCTTAACACCATTGTTCTCATGATGAAGGTAAGGAGGAATTTCTTTATGTTGCTGCACTGTGATCTGTTTGTTTATTTATTTATTAATTCATTCATTAATTTATCTTATTAATAGCCAAGCAAAAATACTTTCCCTCCACTTTGCGTTGAGGTATGCTGAAGCAGAATGGGTTTACTTGCAGTAACCGTACATTATGCCTTAAATATAATGACAGAAATAGAAGGAAATATTATTCTTTTAGGTGTCTTTGTTATGAAAATTAAATGTAAACTTATTTTAAGCCTGTGAGTATATACCGCTTTCTAAATACCTCTTTCTCTATGTGTGTTTGTCAAAGTAAATTGGGTTGATTTAGCTGTTTTTCAGCCCCTGCTGGTGACCCCTGGTCTGTGATACTGCTAGAAAACCAGACAGCCATGAGTCACAGCTTATAAAATATTGAACTGAAGCACCAGCTACTATTTAACTTTTCCTCATTAGCTTTAGCCTGACATCTACCGTGACTAATTTCACCTGGAGATATAGGTCGGCCTCCACTAGTCATCATGTCTACAGTGGTCTGCCTAACACTGGAGCACAGAGAGAGTAATAGAGCAGATATTTTTAGGTAGTGAACTGAAGTGTGAGCAGTTTCCTTTCTCTCTGTCTGTCTTATTCATTTAGTTTTCAGTTTTAATTTTCAAAGTGCTTTATTGGCATATTAGCATCTGTCAAGTTTTTAATTTTATCGTGAAATGTAGGTGTTCCACAATAGAATGGCTCTAGACCTGAATATGTGTAAAATGATGCTTACTGTAAATAGCTATTTGGCTATTGCTTAACATTATCTGTAAGCCTGCATGGCCTAAGTGACATTAGTAGAAAAGGAATGTCTGTTTTATAATTAGGTCTTAAGTAGTTTGAATACTTGGGCAGTTTTAAGAAATAGTTGAAGTTTAAAGGCTCTCTGTACTTTGTATACTTGTGTTACATAGTTGTTGCCATACTCAGTGGTTGCCAAGACATTGCTAGGCAGATGTGTAGGGTTTCTAACAGAGCTATTGAGAAAGAGTTGCATCAATGGAAGTTCAAAATGCTTGATCATCACGTGATTCACATAGAAGTACATGAAGTTTGTTTGTCTCTCTTTTTTGCTTTCTATCAGCATCATGATCCTCGTATTGAAGGTTATGACAATGCGCTAAAATACCTCAACACTGTGTTCACTGTTATTTTCACTGTGGAATGTGTTCTCAAGATCCTGGCATTTGGAATTATGGTAAGCACACACTGGGAATATGATAATCTCTCTCTGTATATATATACACTGTGTACATATATATACAACGAAATGCATTTCCAGCATTCATTATTACCTTTATATCTTTCAGAATTATTTCAGAGACACATGGAATATATTTGACTTCATCACAGTCCTAGGAAGCATCACTGAAATTGTGGTTGACAAAGTCCACACTGTAAAAGTGAGAAATCAGTCAGCCTCATATACAGTATGTGTTCTTTGTAGGCAGTAGTCGTTTGCATGAGCAATTACGTCTGTATTCGAATTGCTTTTTAGCCCGTATTTATTTGCACTAGCTAGCTTCTTTGTGTTTTGATTGCTGTGTACTCCATATTTATTTCCTCAAGCAATGACCTTTATATACTGATTGGTTTTTGTCCAGTATTTATTTGCACAAACAATCACCTCTGTGTTCGGATTGGTTTGCAGGGTTTTAATATGGGCTTCCTGAAGTTATTCCGGGCAGCTCGGCTGATTAAACTTCTGCGTCAGGGCTACACCATTCGTATTCTGCTCTGGACTTTTGTCCAGTCCTTCAAGGTCAGACATGGCTTTTACTGCAGTAGCACTACATTGAAATGCCTTATTCCTTTTTGTATTTATCTTCTAAACACTCTTTTTGCTTTTATTTGAACAAAAGCCACTTAATATAAAATATTTTCTTTCAGAGAATAGATTCAGAGTTCTCATAATGCTGTTTCTACAGTTTCATAAAAGCCTATCAAAGTTTTGCACTGCATTGGTTTTTACAAAATGTTACTTCCACTTTAAACCATTAAACATTTGTTTTGTAACAATAATGATAATTTCTACTTTAATTAGCTTAATTTGTACTTTTGTTCTTGCTATTCAATAACTACCAGCAATTATGTAATTGTAATATTTGCACATTATTGAAAAATGATCTGTCTTTATCAAGCATCTGGGTTACAGTTTATTCATGGAAAGAAAACCATTCCACCTATGCTTCAAACTGTCATTTTACCTAAAACTTTAACACTAAAACTTTGCAAGCACTGGTATTTTCATTAGGAAATGTAAATATAATTTAATATTCATTTTTGAGTTTAGTGCTTAACATGAGATTCGTCTTGCAGGCTCTTCCATATGTCTGTCTGCTAATCGCCATGCTGTTTTTCATCTATGCCATCATTGGCATGCAGGTAAAGGTTGTCTTGGTCCCCAGACTGTCTGTTTCCATCTTTATATTCTTCTCTCTGTCTCTTCCTTTGTTTCTTTGCCACCTTTTCTTTTACTTTACCTCGATAAGCCTGTAAATGTGACAGACACCTTTTATGTGTTTGTAATTTCATTAAAGGTATTCGGCAACATCAAGCTAAATCCCAAAACCCAAATCAACGAACACAATAACTTTAGGACATTTTTTGGTGCTCTCATGCTGTTGTTTAGGTAAGATTAACTTCTTTGTTTGTTGTAAAAAAAAAAAAAACAGGTGCTACATTTTATGGTGTGTTAATTATTTTACTATGAAGCCAATACAATGAAGCAGTCCACCCTTTGGACATTAATAAATGTGACTTCATTTATAATATACATATGTGTGTGTGTGTGTGTGTGTGTGTGTGTGTGTGTGTGTTTAGGAGTGCAACAGGTGAGTCGTGGCAAGAAATCATGTTATCGTGTTTAGGAGAGAAGGATTGTGAAAAAGACGAATCACTCAACAACTCAACAACAAATGAGAAAAAAGATTGTGGTACCGAATTTGCATACTTCTACTTTGTCTCCTTCATCTTCTTCAGTTCTTTTCTGGTGAGAGGCAATTCATTTTAATGACACAAATACATAGCATTACAAACCTGTACACTGAAAACCCACACACTTAAGACCTATTCACACCAAATCCATTTTTTTGGCACATAAAATATATATGGCAAGATTTTAAAATGGAAAAAAAAACATTGAAAAAAAATTTAAATGCAGCTTGTATCATTGAAAACATGAATATCCGCCACTGCTCAACATTCTTACCCTCACTTCTCTGTCTCTATTTTCACATCTCTAATTCTCTTTCAGATGCTAAATCTGTTTGTGGCCGTGATCATGGATAATTTTGAGTACCTGACACGTGACTCGTCCATTCTGGGTCCTCACCACTTGGATGAGTTTGTACGGATCTGGGGAGAGTATGACCGTGCAGCATGGTGAGAGATACAGCTTTCCAGTCCTTTCAGTTGATCACATGCAAATGCAATACAGATGTACAATTAAAAAAAACACACTGGGATTTACTTGGTTAATATTTTCTCATTCTGCAAAAATATTATATTTTTGAATTGATTATAATATATTTATGAAAAACATACAATTGTTTATTAACAATTGTTTTTTTTTTTTTTTAAAGTATGCTTTATGACTGTCATATTTAAAAAATGTACAGGGAAATTTGCATTGTAATTGTCAGTAATGTTTCTGTTTCTTTCTTTACACTAATTTGAAACCCTGCAGGATTACTTAAAGGGGTCGTATCATGATGAATCTTTTTTTTTTTTGGTCTTTTGAGATTAAAGAGTTCATTACACTAAGAAAGCAAACTGTTGCTGAATTCGGACCCCATTTACTGACACTACGCTGCAGAAAATGGTCATTTGAGCATTTACTTTCAAAATGACAGTATATTCTAAGAGTCAGAGAAAGGGTGTAAAACAAAAGAGCTATATCATGATGGCTTTTGGTTCAGAAAACGTCACTAATGTATGATATGACCCCTTTAAAGTGTGTTTCATGAAAAATAACCACTCCTACTACATGTGTCTTGAAGTTGTCTAATTTACTGTTAACGACCAGTATTTCCTTCTCCAGTGGAAAGCTACACTATAAGGAGATGTACAAAGTAGTACGCACAATATCGCCTCCTCTGGGCTTTGGAAAGAATTGCCCCTACAGGGTGGCATGCAAGGTTTGGCTCACCCACGAAAAAACATCCCCTTTGCCTCTCTCTCCTCTTCTCCTTTTGTCATTCCCCACACCTTCACTAGCTAACACCCCTCACCCCCCTCTTGCTCCCGTGATCTACTCTAGTGCTTTCCACCGGGTCAAAGACTGGCAGAGACAAGAGCTCAGCGCACAGAGAGACAGCTCATCCCTTTGGCCCGCGTCCCGCTCCTAAAGTGTGAATAACTGCTGCAGTTAATGACACTGAGAGCCATCCATCAGTGAACTCCATTAGATAATATCTAACACTGTCAATGGATGTTAGTGGGGATTCAGTCTCTCTGTGTCTGAATTGGATTTGGGGCTTTTATTGAACATTATTTGAGGAGGGCAGACGCCTCATATTCACCATTGCCTCACCTGTTTGTAAATCAAAAGAACATTATGCTCATCTCTCCCCGACCTACCACAGTGGCAGAAATTAATTTATATTTTTAAAGGGGAAATATTTACTACTTGAAAGTTTTTACCTTATGAGGGCATACTTTTATAAACAATTTTTATTATAAAAAACTTTGTTACATTTTGAATTAGAATTATATAATTTATATATTATATTTAATCTTACACATTATATAAAACAATGATATAAATATATTATAAAAAATATTATATTTAATCCCACATATATAGTATTTGTATTTTTCTATTTGACTGTATTTTTATGGTTATTTTTTATATTTATGCATTATATTTAATAAATATTATTTATACACACATATACATGAACAAAACTTCAGAAAGTCATGACTTTTGACTGTATTTTTATGGTTATTTTTTATATTTATGCATTATATATTTAATAAATATTATTTATACACATATACATGAACAAAACTTCAGAAAGTCATGACTTTTTTTTTTTGCTTCCACAAATCGAACTTTGCTGCCATTTGTTAATTTCTGGCTCTGAGCACAATGCCCCTTCTGGGTTATGTATTATAATAGCAGTGCTTCCTTTTCAATACAGCCAGTCAAATCCTCAGATCCACCTGCTTGACTCATCAGATCTTTGGCTGTTTTAATATTTTCTCTCCTTTAGCCTCTTCTATGCCTGCATTGCATAGAAAGACATCCACCTGACCTCACCTCTATGTTTAATCAGTTTCCCTTTTTGACAGTTTTTCCTTTAAGTATGAAACACATTAAAATGACCTTCCCTTTCCTGTCTCTTCCTTCTCCTTCTATCTTTCCTGTTGTTTCCTTTTTCCTCTATGCCAATCTTCCTCTCCTCCCTCGTTCCTTGGAAATGCCCAATTCTTCTTCCTCCTCCTCCTCTTCATCACATTGCCCCTGATGACTGCCCCCTCCTAGTGGCCGTATTCATTATACTGATATGTACGAGATGCTGACCTGCATGTCGCCACCGCTTGGCCTGGGCAAGAAATGCCCCTCCAAAGTGGCGTATAAGGTAGTCTGCAGTATTACTATTTGAATGAAATCTGCTCGTTTTCAAGAGGCTCAAGCTCAAGGCTGTAGTTAAAGTGTCCCCAAGATGTATTTGGACACTTTAGTCAAACTTTAAATAATATGAATACTGTATCTTTGCATTATGTAAAAGCATATTGAGCCAAGTGAGAATGATTTGTGAAACACAAGTTAACTAAAAGTTTGCACTTGGTTTTATGTTTTCTATCTAGTTACATTTTGAGTAACTTAATTGTTTTAGGGCCACTGTATGCAAATAATTGCAATACATATATCTACAGGTGCATCTCAATAAATTAGTATGTCGTGGAAAAGTTCATTTATTTCATGTCACAATTCGCTGTGGGAGGAACGACAGAGAAACGTGGAGTACAAGCAAAAGTCTTTAATCCAGGAATCACAGGGGATAATCCACTACAGGAACACGGGAAACACACAACATCCAACAAGTAGACCCAACAGAGGAAAAATGCACAGACAAGAACTTATAAACACAGGACAATTACCAAACACAGGTGCACAGAATGACTAATTAAC